CCACCCCCCCCTCCTCTCCTGGGGCTCTGCCCCCGCCCCCCCCGGGCGTTATATAGAGCTCTAATTCCACGCACGCACACACGAGATCCGAGGGGAACCAGGGGGACCCCAAGAAAGGCGAAAAACCCCACAGCAACCGGTGCCAGAAGAAAGCAAAACCCAGCCGGGGCGGGGAGGGGGCGGCCAGGGGGGCCCTGGCGTGGCCCCAAGGGGGGCCAGGGGGGCACGGGGTGGCCCCCCTTCACTTCTTGTTCTTGAGCTGGTTGGCGAGCCAGTCGAGGCCCTCGTAGAGCCCATCCCCGCTGGTGGCACAGGTGGCCTGGATGTACCAGTTACGGTGGCGCAGGGAGTGCAGCCCCAGCTTGTCCGTGATCTCCGCCGCGTTCATGGCGTTGGGCAGGTCCTGGGGGGGGCACAGGGAGGGGCACCACGGTTAAACACCAGTCCTGATGCCACGTGGATGGACACGGGTGTCTTTTTGGCACCAGCCTTGGTGCCAGGGGCACGGGCACGGTCCTGCCACGGCGGGGGCCAGATACCAGCCCTGACACCTCCGGGATGGGCACGCTCCTGGCACAGCCCTGACGCCCTGGGGACGATCTCAGCCCCGCCACCTGCCCCCAGACCCACCTGCTTGTTGGCGAAGACGAGCAGGACGGCGTCCCGCAGCTCATCCTCCGCCAGCATCCGCATCAGCTCCTCCCGCGCCTCGTTCACCCGCTCCCGGTCGTTGCTGTCCACCACGAAGATCAGCCCTGGGGGACAGGAGCGGGCGCTGATGGGGTCCCCTCGGCTGCCCCCGTCCCCGTGTCCCCCACCCCGTGCCCCCCCAGGACACCTACCCTGGGTGTTTTGGAAGTAATGCCTCCAGAGGGGCCGGATCTTGTCCTGCCCACCCACGTCCCACACGGTGAAGCTGATGTTCTTGTACTCCACCGTCTCCACGTTGAAGCCTGGGGGGAGCGACGGCAGAGGGAAACTGAGGCACAGGGAGCCACGAGCCCCCTCAGAGAAGCCCTGACGGGGAGGGGTCCGTGCTCGGTGCCCCCGCAACCCCACCCACCGATGGTGGGGATGGTGGTGACGATCTCCCCCAGTTTGAGCTTGTAGAGGATGGTGGTCTTCCCGGCGGCGTCCAGCCCCACCATCAGGATCCGCATCTCCTTCTTCCCAATCAGGCTCTTCAGCAGGTTCCCGAAGATGTTGCCCATGGTGACGGCGGCGCTGGCTCCGAGGCCGGATCCTGCGGGGGCACGGGGCAGGCTGGGGGTGGCCCTGAAATCTGCGGGGAGGGAGCTGTAGGGGTCCCCCGTGCTCCTGGGGGGGCTGCGGAGATGGGGGAGCCCCATGTCCTGGGGGGATACAGGGCTTGGGGGACCCCAAGAAAGGGGCTGGGGAGTGGGTCATACGCTGCATGGGGGTGTCCCTGTGTGCAGCTCGATATGGGGGGACTGTAAGGAGGGGGGGTGAACCCTTCAAGGGGACAGCCCAGGGTGCTGCACTGGGGGAAACTGAGGTAGAGATGGCACCCTACTCGGGGGGAGCAAAGCCCCCCCGGCCCCGACCCCCCCTTTGCACCTCCAGCCCCCGCATGACCCCCCCATCACCGCAGCCTGGTCGGGGAGACCCCCATCGCCCTCCCCGCACCGCAGCGTGCCCCCCCCGTCAGTGTGCAGCCGCCCGCCCCCGGGACCCCCCGAATTCACCGCGTCCCCCATCCCACAGCACCCCC